GAATAGAAGTGGAACTCAGTAACAACTGGAATCTGCAGACTCATACAAAAACATGGAAGCTAAATAACCTTATGCTGAATGATAGCTTGGTCAGACATGACATCAAGAATAAAATTACCAAATTTTTGGAACAAAACTATAATGATGATATGAGTTACCAGAACCTCTAGGATAATGCAAAGACAGTCCTAAGAGGGAAATTTATAGCACTGCAAGCCTTCATCAAGAAAATAGAAAGAGAGGAAGTTAACAACTTAATGGGACATTTCAAGCAACTGGAAAAGGAAGAACACTCCAATCCCAAACCCAGCATAAGAAAAGAAATAAACAAAATTAGAGCAGAACTAAATGAAATGGAAAACAAAAGGATTATACAACAGATCAATAAATCAAAAAGTTGGTTTTTTGAAAAGGTCAATAAAATAGACAAACCTTTGGCCAACCTAACCAAGAAAAAAAAGAGAGAGTAAAATCTCTCATTTCATCAATCAGAAATGGTAAAGACGAAATAACAACAGACCCCTAGAAATTCAAAAATTCCTCAATGAATATTACAAGAAACTTTATTCTCAGAAATATGAAAATCTGAAGGAAATTGACCAATACTTGGAAGCATGCCACCTTCGAAGACTTAGCCAGAATGAAGTGGAAATGTTGAACAGGCCTATATCAAGTTCTGAAATAGCATCAACTATACAAAATCTCCCTAAAAAGAAAAACCCGGGACCAGATAGCTTCATGTCAGAATTCTATGAAAACTTTAAAGAGGAACTAGTACCTATACTACTTAACCTTTTCCAAATTACAGAAAAAGACGGAATACTACCCAAGTCATTCTATGAATCAAACATCACCTTGATTCCCAAACCAGGAGAAGACCCAACAAAGAAAGAAAATTACAGATCAATATCATTAATGAATATTGATGAGATAATATTCAACAAGATCCTAACAAACAGAATCCAGCAACACATCAAACAAATTATACCTCATGACCAAGTGGATTTTATCCCAGGATCTCAAGGCTGGTTCAACATATATAAATCTATAAACGTAATTCTTTGTATTAACAAATTATAAAACAAAGACCATATGATTCTCTCAATTTATGCAGAAAAAGCTTTTGATAATATCCAGCATCCTTCATGATCAGAACACTTAAGAAAATTAGTATAGAAGGGACATTTCTCAAATTGATAGAGGCCATGTACAGCAAACTTACAGCCAATATCATATTGAATGGAATTAAATTGAAATCATTTCCGCTCAGATCAGGAACCAGGCAAGGTTTCCCATTATTTCCATTGCTCTTTAACATTGTAATGGAAGTTTTAGCCATCACAATTACGGAAGAAAAGGCAATCAAGGGTATCTATATAGTATCAGAAGAGATCAAACTTTCACTCTTCACAGACGATATGATTGTATACCTGGAAAACACCAGAGATTGTACAAAAAATCTTTTAGAAGTGATCAAGGAATACAGCAGCATCTCAAGTTACAAAATCAACAATCACAACTCAGTAGCCTTTATATATACCAACAACAGTCAAGCTGAAAAAATAGTCGAGAACTCTATTCCATTTATGGTAATGCCAAAGAAGATGAAATATTTGGGAATCTACCTAACAAAGGATGTGAAAGATCTCTATAAAGAGAACTACAAAACTCTAAAAAAAAGAAATAGCTGAAAATGTTAACAAATGGAAAAACATGCCATACTCATGGCTTGGAAAAATTAATATTGTTAAAATGTCCATACTACCTAAAGCAATATATAATTTTAATGCAACTCCTATTAAAGTTCCATTGTCACACTTTAAAGATCTTGAAAAAATAATACTTCACTTTATATGGAATCAGAAGAAACCTCAAATAGCCAATACATTACTCAGAAATAAAAACAGAGCAGGAGGAATCATGCTACCAGACATCAGACTATACTATAAATCCATACTGATCAAAACAGTATGGTGTTGGTGCAAAAACAGACAGGTAGATATATGGAAGAGAATAGAGAACCAAGAGATGAACCCAGCTACTTACTGCTATATGATCTTTGACAAGCCAATTAAAAACATCAAGTGGGGAAAAGATTCCCTATTTAACAAATGGTGCTGGATGAACTGGCTGGAAACCTGCAGAAGAATGAAACTTGATCCACACCTTTGACCACTAACTAATATTGACTCTTACTGCATTAAAGATTTAAATTTAAAACACGAAACTATAAAAATACTAGAAGAAAGTATAGGAAAAACTCTTGAAGAAATTGGTCTGGGCAAATATTTTGAGGAGGACCCCCCCCGGGCAATTGAAGCAACATCGAAAATACACTACTGGGACCTCAGAAAATTAAAAAGCTTCTGCACAGCCAAAAACACAGTAAGTAGAGCAGGCATACAGCCCTCAGAATGGGAGAAGATATTTACTGGTTATGTCTCCAACAAAGGTTTAATAACCAGAATCCACAGAGAACTCAAATGTATTAGCAAGAAGAAAACAAGTGATCCCATCTCAGGGTGGGCAAGGGATTTGAAGAGAAATTTCTCTGAAGAGGACAGGCACATGGCCTACAGATATATGAAAAAATGCTCACCATCCTTAATCATCAGAGAAATGCAAATCAAAACTACTTTGAGATATCATCTAACGCCAGTAAGATTAGCCCATATCACAAAATCCCAAAATCACAGATGCTGGCATGGTTGTGGAGAAAAGGGAACACTTCTGCACTGCTGGTGGGATTGCAAACTAATACATTCCTTTTGGAAAGTCATCTGGAGAACACTTAGAGAACTAAAAATAGACCTGCCATTTGATCCTGTAATTCCTCTACTAGTTATATATTGAGAAGACAAAAAATCACACTATAATAAAGATATTTGTACCAGAATGTTTATTGCAGCCCAATTCATAATTGCTAGGTCATGGAAGAAGCCCAAGTGCCCATCGACCCATGAATGGATCAATAAATCATGGTATATGTACACCATGGAATACTATGTAGCCATAAAGAAAGATGGAGACTTTACCCCTTCATGTTTACATGGATGGAACTAGAGAATATTCTTCTTAGCAAAGTATCTCAAGAACAGAAGAAAAGTATCCAATGTACTCAACCCTATTATGAAACTAATTTATAGTTTTCATAGGAATGCTATAACCCAATTTTAGCCCAAGAATACAAGGAAAGGGGAGAGGGAGGGGAGGGGAGGGGGGAAGATGGGTGGCCGGAGAGCCATTGGTGGGATCACATCTATGTTTTATCCTATGGGGGTACATGTGAGTATTTCTAAATGCAGAATATAAATGTCTTAACACAACAACTAAGAAAATGACATGAAGGCTATGTTAACCAGTTGGATGAAAGTATTTCAAACTGTATATAGAAAGAACACACTGTACCCTATGATAGTATTAATGTACACAGCTATGATTTAATAAAAAAATAAATAATTTTGTAATTGTGTTGTTTGCTATTTAAATTGTTATTGTTTAAATTGTTACACATTACCTTAAGCAACATTTTCCTAACTACAATTAAATAATGTAAGGGCATTATATCAACATAACATAGATTGAGTATTCCTTATTTGAAAAGCTCAGGACAGGAAGTGTTTTTGATTTTTTGCTGGGTGGGGGGCAGTGAATTTCTGCATTATACACTTACTAGTTCAGCATTACTAATCTGAAATCTGAAACGCTCCAATGAGCATTTCTTTTTGGGTGTCAGGTTTATTATCTAAAAGTTTTGGACTTCGGAGCATTTTGGATTTTGGTTTTCAAATTGGGGGTGTTCAACAAGTAATACTGTTTTAGTTTGAGTACTGCTCTCATGAAGTATCCATTACTTTCAACTTTGTAATTGTTGCTATTTCCTTTAGACCAACAAAAGTACTATTTAGTGAACATTCTGCTGTGTTAATTATCAAGTATAAGAATATAAGAATTGACACATGTGGGCTCAGTGCCTGTAGCACAGTGGTTACAGCACCAGCCACATACACTAAGCCTGGTGGGTCCAAACCTGACCCAGGTCAGCTAAACAACAATGACAACTGCAATAAAAATAGCCAGCCATTGTGGTGGGTGCCTTTAGTCCCAGCTACTTGGGAGGCTAAGGAAAGAAAACCACTTAAACCTGAGAATTTGAGGTTGCTATGGGCTGTAACGTCATGGCACTCTACTGACGGCGACACAGTGAGACTCTGTTTCAAAAAAAAAAAAAAATGGTTGGATTGTCACCTGTGATGGCTGATCTATGATCCATTTAGCTCAGGGTTCTATTTCTGACCAAGGCATTAAACTTGGTTTGCTAGGCACAAAATATCCCACAAACATCTTCCTTTTGAATCTGTACCCCAATATTACAGTGAAGCCATTTATCTCCTTGCTAGAATGTTCTCAGTTTATCACATGCATTCTTTAGCTTCAAGGAGTTGTTCTTCACCATACTCTAGTAGGTTTTAGTAAGGAACTCTCTTTCCCTTGTCCTTCTCATATGTAGTTTTAAGTACCCTGATGATGTTTTTCCTTAAGTTATCATATTTACTGCTTAAAAAATTCTAATTCATCATAAATCACTAGTCTATTCCATTAATATTCTGTCTATCAAAATTAGTAAATACTTTCAAAATATTTTAAATGACTTTGCTTTTATCTATTCTATTCTATCAAGCTACAACCAACATAGTGGGTGTTAAATTATAGTTTTTTAACCAGTAACATTTTTTTTCATGCCACATTCTGAAAATCATTTGATATTGCAGCTATAAAGTTGTAAGAGCTGTTAAATATCATTTTTTTACTAAAATATGGAAAAATATTTTGGAACACTGACAAAGCTGTCAAATTTATGTCCTGTACATGTAACATACAATTAATGACTTCATCTTTAATGACCTCATCTTTTCCTTACAGTACTACTTCCACATATCTAAGTGCAAGTAGTACTATTTTTCTATTGCTTGCTCTGAAAACACAACAAAATGTCTTACCAGTTGTTGTTAATGTTACTGCATCTAGCATGTTTTCACAGGCAGCCAATTCCTGTTAAATAGAGAAAACCTTCAATTCTTAAGATAATCATCATGAGATTTTATTCAATGTTTATTAACATATGATGTCCTAGGAAGTGTTAAAAATGAGTCAGACTTAATTCCAGTTGTCTAGAAATTTAAAATCTGAAACAGCAGTGCAACAAAATTATATATATATATATATACACACACACACACGTGTATATATAAGCATATATATGTATATATTATATTTATACATATATAAATATAAAGTAACTATGTTGATACCTAACTCATGAAGGTCAATTCAAGTTACTACCCTTGAATTAATACAACCAGAAACTGTGAAGTAAAGCAAAAAATGTTTCTGAACATCCATGGGAGACATCATAAAGTTTATGTATTAGGGAGCACATAGATTTTACAGAAAAGTCTATTGTACGTTTGGCTATGAGAAATTTTTGCCAATTTAATTTAAGATTTTTTAATGTGACTTTTTACTGTATTATTTTTTACACATTCAAATTCTTTTCTTCATGATTTGTGTCTCATTGTTGGAATGGTTTTAAAAATATTCACTCTTTATTATCCTCTTAAGTTCTTAATTTTAATAATTGATATGTTTATATTTTTGGTATAAAAAGTGAGTTGGAATTTCACCTTTTCCCCAATTGTCCTAATGTCATATATTGAAAACCTCACCTTTTATTCACTGACTTGAAATGTCCCTTTTATGATATAATACATTCTCATATACCATCATCCTTTGATATCTGTGGGGGATTGGTTCCAGGACAGCCCCCAACATGATGGATACCAAAATCTTAGGATGCTGAAGACTCTGATATAAAATGGTGTTGTATTTGCATATAGCCATGCATATCCTCCTATATACTTTAAATATTCCCTATATTACTTATAATACCTAATATAATGCAAATACTATGTACATAGATGCTATACTGTATTGTTTAGAGAATGACAAAGAACAAAGTACATATGTGTTCAGTACAAATGTAATTTTTCCCAAATATTTTCGATCCTAATTGGCCAAATCCACAGTTGTGGAACCCATTGATTTGAAGGACCAACATTATATTTAAGATAATGTCTGTCACATTGGCCTATCTCTGCAGGATCTACTATAGTATTTTAATTACTTACAGCTTATGATATGTGGTATAGATCATTTCCTCTCATTATGCATCTATTTAGAAATATTTTATTTTTCAATCAATGTAACCTGGTTCTTTGTACCCTCAATGAATCCCCAAAAACAAAAAAGAAAAAAAAAAGTCTTTCATTTTTACGTGTGAAAATTGGGGGATTTTCACTGTAATTGCATTGAATTTATAATGGATAAGAATTTTAAAAATATTTGAGAAGGATAGCAAGGGCAAAATTATGTAGAGCCCTGATAAGAAGTCTGGATATTATTCTCAATGCAACAAGAAGCTCAATGGAGTTTTAAATATTTTTACTTCTGTGTAGAGAATAAATTGGCCAGAAAAGGCAATTATGCCCATCATGGCCTTCCCTCCCCATATGCATTCAGTATTTGTATAATGAACAAAAATCAAATTTTAATACTACCCAGCTCTCTTCTGTGGATCACCAATGGTTCAAAACCACACTTTGAGAACCATCACAATGAAAGGCTTTATATGGAAAATCTGGTAAGCACGAATTTATGGCTGCCCAGCTATGAAATGTGGTGTTTTAGGTTAGTATAAAATGATTTCATAGAGAGGATAGAGAAGAATTTTAGTGCCAGGACAGTAAATAAAACATGCACTATACTCAGCTAAGGAATTACTATTATGGCAAACTCTAATAAACTCCTGTGCAAGAGAAAATACTTTGCAAGCTCAGCCATGAATAGGTGTTAGAATGGACATTTATTATTTAGAAGAACATAAACCCAAAGCTAATTAATCACTACATACAAGTCTGCGAAGCAAAGCAAGTACTTTAGCTCGCCTAATATTTTTCTACAATGAATACTCACTAAAATTACTCCCAAGAAACTTATGGTGTATTTTCAGGTACATGTGGCCAATTAAAAAGTACATGTGGTAAGGAACTCCCTAGGTAAAGGTTCACTGAAGTAGAGGAGGTTAGTAATATATTTCCCCCTTGATAATGGTAATGGAAATTGTTTGGAGAGCTAAGAAAGGTACACTTGTCCAGGTACAGAGATTCATTGTCATTCAGTAATAAATTTATCAATTTCCAAGTAGGCATCAGATACTATAACTACATAACACTCTTTAAAATTATTTTCCACCACCTGGAAAACTGTGGATCTAGAATAATTTGGGGGGTAATATTTTGACTGAAGATCTAATCAAGCAATTTAATGTCAGTGAGAGAAATGAAGTGAGAACTTGCAAAAAATGAAATAGAATGGAAACCTTGGAAAGGTAGATAGTTCTTAAAGATATGTTAAGCCTAGCATCACTTCAATAGATGAATTTAACAAGAAACTAGGTACTTTATTGGGGGCATTAAGACACATTTTTCAATAAGAGGGAATACAAACTTGGTCTTATTTAGATAAGATATAGATATATTGGTGAGCAAATGGAAACATGTTCCTTACAAAACCATATTTATAATGTATAATATGTTCCAGCCACATATTTACTCCATTAAGAATCTGAGACACTGCGTTTACATAGATTTTTATATAGAATTGTTTACCAGTGCATCATATAAATGATTGATTGCAGTGCCAAAAAACTTCAGTGCCTTAAGTATGGTACTTAGATCACTTTCCCTCTTTACCAAACTGCAATGATTTCTAAGGAACCCATTAAAATAAATATTTAATGGATTCCTTAATGAATATCGATGCAAAAATATTCAATAAGATCTTAGCAAACAAAATTCAACAACACTTCAAAAAAATTATACACAATGATCAAGTTGGTTTTATTCCAGGGCTACAGGGTTGGTTCAACATACGCAAATCTATAAATATAATACATCACATCAATAAAATAAAAAATAAAGACCATGTGATTCTCTTGATTAATGTGGAAAAAGCCTTTGATAATATCCAGCATCCTTTCATGATTAGAATTCTTAAGAAAATAGGCATAGAAGGGATATTTCTTAAACTGATAGAGGCCATCTACAGCAAACCCACAGCCAATATCATATTGAATGGTGTAAAATTAAAGACATTTCCACTCAGATCAGGAACCAGGCAAGGTACCCACTGTCTCCACTGCTATTCAACATAGTAATGGAAGTCTTAGCCATCGCAATCAGGCAAGAGAAAGCAATCAAGGGTGTCCAAATAAGGTCAGAGGAGATCAAACTCTCACTCTTCACTGATGATACGATCCCATACCAGGAAAATCCCAGGGACTCAACTTCAAAACTCTTAAAAATTATCAAGTAATACAGCAGCATCTCAGGATACAAAATCAATATTTCCAAGTCAGTACCTTTTATATACACCTACCATAGTCAAGCTGAAAAAACAATCAAAGACTCTATTCCTTTTACAATACTTCCAAAGAAGATGGGAATTCACCTAACAAAGGACATGAAAGATCTCTATAAAGAGAACTATGAAACTCTGAGAAAAGAAATTACTGAAGATGTTAACAAATGGAAAAACATACCATGCTCACAGCTGGGAAGAATCAACATTGTTAAAATGTCCATACTACCCAAACAATCTACAGACTTAATGCAATCCCTATTAAAGAACCATTGTCATACTTTAAAGAACTTGAAAAAATAGTACTTAATTTTATATGGAATCATAAAAAACCTCAAATAGCAAATACATTAATCAGAAATAAGAGCAAATCAGGAAGTATCACATTACCAGACTTCAGGCTATACTATAAATCTATAGTGACCAAAACAGCATGGAACTGACACAAAAACAGAGTGGTAGATTTATGGAACAGAATAGAGAACCAAGAGATGAACCCAGCTACTCATTTGATCTTTGACAAGCCTATCAAAAATATTCAGTGG